CCCACTAAGATCGCCCTACCCCGGAACCTGATCAACAGGCTTGAGCTCTACCTCCACGAGACCTACGAGGAGTTCTCCTACGAGGATTTCTCGTCGATCCCCGGCCACATTGACCGGATTTTCGCGTAGGTGCACTGGGACTATGGAGTGGAGCGTCTTGGGCCTGGGAATCATGGAGTAACGGACATTGTGAACATTTTTTAAAACACTTGGGACTAAATTGAGAAGAGCCTAAGACAGAGAAATCATGAAAACCCATTTGTTACCTTTGTAAATATTCCTGTTTTGTACCTGATTATTTTTTTACTAGTTTACAGAACTTTTATAAATGTACATTGTTAATAGTATAAATATTACCGTTCTGTTTTAAATAAATGTTTACATGTTTACAGCACTTACTGCTTGATCCTTCCCCTGATTCTGTGTCCGGGGTAAGGGATGGGGACGGTTGGTACGGGATCTCGGTAAGGGTGATGAAGAGCTCCTGGCTGTCGGGGAAATCAGCGGTGCCAGCGCTGTCGACTGCCTCGTCCTCCTCATCTCCTTCTTCATCTTCCCCGTCCGCTGTCATGTCCGACGAGGAACCGGCCGCGGACATGATCCCATCCTCGGAGTCCACGGTCAGGGGTGGGGTAGTGGTGGCGGCCGCTCCCAGGATGGAATGCAGTGCCTCGTAGAAACGGGATGTGTGGGGCTGGGATCCGGAGCGTCCGTTAGCCTCTTTGGTTTTTTGGTAGCCTTGTCTCAGCTCCTTGATTTTCACGCGGCACTGCGTTGCATCCCGGCTGTAGCCTCTCTCTGCCATGGCTTTGGAGATCTTCTCGTAGATCTTAGCATTCCTTCTTTTGGAGCGCAGCTCTGAAAGCACGGACTCATCGCCCCACACTGCGATGAGATCCAAGACTTCCCGATCAGTCCATGCTGGGGCCCTCTTTCTATTAGATTGCACGGCCATCTCTGCTGGAGAGCTCTGCATAGTTGCCACTGCTGCTGAGCTCCCCTCGATGTCCAAAGAGGAACTGAGATTCAAACTGCCCAGACAGGAAAATGAAAATGAATTCAAATTTTCCCGGGGGTGTGGCTGGTCAGAGCATCCGAGCTCGGACTGCTGTCCAGAGCGTCAACAGAGTGGTGCACTGTGGGATAGCTCCCGGAGCTATTACCGTCGATTTCCATCCACACCTAGCCTAATTCGATATGGCCATGTCGAATTTAGCGCTAATCCTCTCGTTGGGGAGGATTACAGAAATCGATTTAAAGAGAGCTTTATGTCGAACTAAATGGCTTCCTGGTGTGGACGGGTGCAGGGTTAATTCGATATAACGGCGCTAAAGTCGACATAAAAGCCTAGTGTAGACCAGGCCTTAGAAGCGTATTTTTACTTTGTAACCATTTCTATTTCAATTCTTTCTACTTGGTATCACTTAAATACCTGTTCTTTGTTAATAAACATAATCTTGTTTTATTACACAACCATTTCAGTGCACTGTTTCAAACTGAAGAATAAAATCCTCGGTCAAACTAACAGGATGGTGCTGTGTACTGTCTCTTTAAAGGAGTAGCAAACTTGATAAGCTTTGTGAGTGCTACAGAGAGAGGGGCTGAGCACTGCAGGGGAGATGGTTTTGGGGAGACTTAGAAGTGGAAGGACTCTTGGTATCACCCTGCTGCAAGGGGTAACCAGGCTGGTGGAGGCCAGGGTGAGGTCATTGTGCTGCAAAGCAGGCTGCTGGTGTCACAGTTCTGAGCCAAAGCTGTGCAGCACAGAAGTACCCAGGGTTACAGGGCACATGGTGACACAACCCCTTAACTGGTCTGGGTAAAACCCCAAAGCATCACATATGGCTCCGTCACTCTTGTACCTGAAGGCTTTCCAAGTAAACTGAAATATAAACATATTTCTCTCTCTCTCTCCCCTCCTTAGCCTGTAAGGGTATGTCCGCACAGCCTGCAGAAGTGAGCCTCCACTCCCCGGTTAAACACTCAGTCTCTGAAGCCCATCCTCCTCCCTAGGCTTCAGAGCCTGGACTTCAGCTCAAAAGCCACAACTTCAAAGTGCATTCTACACCAGGGGTTCTCAAACTGGGGGTTGGGATCCCTTGGGGGGTCACGAGCTGTCAGCCTCCACCCCAAACCCCGCTTTGCCTCTAGCATTTATAATTGTGTTAAATATGTAAAAAAGTGTTTTTAATTTATTAGGGGGGGTTGCACTCAGAGGCTTGCTGTGTGAAAGGGGTCACCAGTACAAAAGTTTGAGAACCACTGGTTTACACAATCATTGTTAGAATCTCAGCGTGAGCCCAACGAGCCTGAGTCTGTTGACCCAGGCAAGGAGGCTCACTTCTGCAGGCTGTGTAGATGTGCCAACAGAAAAATAGCTTGATAAATGTAGAGAGTTTTGTGCATTTGTGTAGCGTATTGAGGAAAAGTCAAAGAAATAAATTTTGCATTTAGTTAAAGTGGATGCATCTGCAGTCATTTTATCTCTTGTGGGAAGTGAACTCCATGTTCTGGGTCCAGCTCCTATCCAAGTTCTGTGCCTGACATGCCAAAGCCTTCTCTCCTATTGCCAGACCGTTTCATTGTTCCAGTGGAACTTAGTAGTTGTGTGAAGTCAGTCTCAGAAGGAGAAAAACAACTCAGGAAGCTAGGGTCAAGCCATGGAGGCCTTGGAATACCAGGGGAAAGAGCTTGAACTGGAATCTGGATTCAACTGAGAATCACTACAGATAGTTGTGAGCCTGATATGTTCATAACAACCTTAGATTCTTCACTTGGCTCCATTGAGGCAGGGTGAAAAATTCCTAGCTCACCTCCTCAACTCCAGTGGTTATTTCTGAATGGCCTCAATAGCTGCTAAGTGTGATCTTTTAGGTAGTGAATCTAGACTAGAGACAGTTCACAATACAAAGTGTCTTTTAAAAGGAGGATTTTCCGAAGTGCTCAGGATTGGCCCTCACTCTGCTCTGCAATGGAAGAAGAGTTAGGCCAAAACTAAGGTCTTTTGAGAATCCCACCCTAAGGGTTAGGTCAAGAGAAATGAAATTACCACCCTTAAAAGGGAAGGGGGGAAAAAGTAAATTTCCATTGCAATTCACATGCAAGGCTCTTTCTAATGCCAGCAACTGCAGATCTATTACTGATAACAAGCAGAAGACATCTTGCATTACATCGCATTGGAAACAGACAGAAAGGTCGCAGAAAGAAATCACCTTCCAGTGAGAATGGCTGGATTTCTTGCAAGCAGCAGCCAAAACATTCATTAAGCCACCTCAGGAGGTCCCTGGATGCACACAAGGACTAGACCGAGAACAGACAATTTGGAAGGATTTTTTCCAAAAGCATTATTGACCTTGCCTGAGAGGGATATGGCCCTTCAGGGGTAAGTAAGCTTGAATGGCACAGTGTAGTTAGTGAAGTAACTAAAAAATAACCTTTAGAAAGAGTCTTTGAATCAGGGAATCTGTACTGTTTATTCAAATGATGGCTAAGGAAAATGTGATTATCAGCTGTCACCTATTACTCATCAAGCACTGAACACTGAATAAATGGTCTGCCATGTTATGCAATTAAAAGACAGCACACAGCAACATTTTCTTGGGAACTGAACTGCACAAATGAAAGGTTTTGGAAACATTTTTCAGAATTGGGGCAGGTCTTCCAAGGGACAAATGTCAAGAAGAATCAGTATCATTTTCACTGTCACAGCAGAACTGGAGACTGTTCTACTTGGAAAAAATGCAAGACAAGAATCACAAAGACTCTGTCTCTCCAAAGACAGGACTCTTGTCCAGGTAACCCTGGCCATCAGACTCCTCAGTTTACAGAGAGAAAATTTTGCAGGGTAATTCAAAGCAATACTGACAGTTAGATAGTAGGGAACGAAAGTAAATGAGCATGTCCTCCCTCTGTGGTAGAAAATCAACCTCCTAAAGCATATTAAGTGTTCTACAGACACTCACATCTAACAAGGCAATCCCTGGTTCCCATTTCGACTGCCTGCATTTAGAGTATGTCATTAGTTTCACTGCAAACACATTGCTGCTGCAATAGTATGATGGAGGTAAGACATATGGAGTGAGGCATTTCTTGCTTTCTCAGTTTGTTCCTGTCCACTTGTCTCAAGAAAAACTGATGCACTCTAGATTGAAAGGAGGGGCAGGAGAACACTGTTACTACTCTGCTCCTCCATAGCAGAGCCATACTGAGACCAGTAAGGCACAGAGCAGGTTACACAGGATACAGCTTGAGGCATGTCTAGTTGTCTTTTCACTGATTCTGCTACCCAGCCAATGAGAATAGCTTATCAGGTTCAGTTTTATATCTGAGAGTGCAAAAGTGAACACAGAGCCAGAATTCAAGAAAGTTCTGGGACAGATTTTCACATGCCAGGTACCCACTATTGCAACCAGATTTTCAAAATAGCTCAGCTCCCATTAAGGCACATAAATGAGGGCCAGATTTTTAAAAGAGCTCACTACCCATCTCTGAAGTTATTTTGGTTGCCATATAAAATCTATTATTATGTTTGTTGCAAGTATAGTTATATAAAAACCCACACATGTACACATGTTTTATTTCTCCAAATAAATTCACAATACTCAATTATTTCAACCCACAATAAATAATCAACAGGATGCTTAAAATGTTCCAAAAGAAAGGAATGATCTAACAACTCCACATTCGACTATGCTTCCAAACTTATTTACTTTAAATTAATTTTTCAAAAAGCAAAGAAGATGAATCCTACATTTTATTACTAACAAAGATTTTGGAGGCTTCCTCAATAAAATAAAGGTACAAATTTCCTTTTTTTCCTGTTTTAGAAAGACCAGAAAAGGACGACAGTGTTCAAGATTAGTTTGAATGCAATGTGACAATGAAAAACCAATAACTTCCCCAATAAATCTTAAACAAATTAACTACATTGAAAAACCCTCTCATTTTATGTTAATACATGGTTTTAGTGTTTATTAGACTTGAACAGTACCCAGACTTACTTTTCTGATGTCATCTAAAGTGTTGATCTCTGGAGACAAGCCACCATGTACACACAGGAATTGTTGGTTCATCAGAGCAGCCAAAGGAAGGCAGTCAAAGGCATCCATGCAGGCATCATATACTCGTTCTGAATACTTTATTTTACCTTTTGGATAGTAAGATGGTATCAGAAGATGGTGTTCAGTATTTTAAAGAAAAAGATTACTGTAATTTAAGGACTTGGTCCTGCTCTCAACTAGAAAGGGCCAACGGACTTCAACAGGAGTAGAACTGTATCATAAAATCCTAAATAATATTTTACAGAAAATAAATCACTGTGCATACTGAGTCCCCCCCACACACACATTTTGGGCACTAGAGATCTGGGTTACTTTTACATGCTGTTGGGAAAATTCTACATAATTTAATACAGATGAAACTACTAAGATTCTATAGAACTTCAACAGCATTCCAGAGAAGTTAGTCTAAAAGCTTATAGAATTTAATACAGAATTTTTTTTCTACAGAAGTGTTAAACCAACCAATTTAATACAGAATTATATTCCTGTTAAGAAATTCCATAGAAACCTTTGAAATTCTGTAGAAAAGTTATTATTCTCTAGTAAATGATTTCCCATAAAGAACAGCTCTATGCAGAGGAATCTGAACTTTAACCCACATCCTTGTAATTAATTATCTGCAGAAACATCACTGTGAAATGAATGAGCTAATACAATGAATCCAAAATGTTAATTTACCAATATGCATATTAAACTCAGTAAACCATGGAGCATTTGAGCCAATTAACATTTTTTCCCATCCTTTATGTTAAAGTGGGAATGTGGACCCATGCAATAGCTTCAGTTTATATTACTGCAGACACAAGTTATTCATTGTGCAAATCAAGGTCTACAGCCAATAATCTTTGAAGTATCCCAGTATTCTTTAATACAATAAAGGAAAGAATGCCATTAAAAAAAAAAATTACAAGAAATGCATGATACTGTATGTTTATACTTCCAATTTAGAAGGGAAAATGCCCTATATTAAGTAACAATCTTTTAAAGGGATTCTTAAGCTTTTTCATACCATAGATTAAATCTTAATTGAGGCATTGCCTAACAAACTACCTGCCCTCCCAACTGCATAATATCCCTGGTGGAGGACTACAATCCTACTCCAATCCTATATTAGCTTACCTGGAAAGGTAATGTTAAGAAGTGTTATTTGTTCCGACCCCACACTGAAGGAAGAGATAGTGCACAGTTGTACACTAAGAGACCAATGTTAGCAGAGACACCAAGACAATCATGCTTTTTGTTTTGTAGGCACACTAGAAGCAAGGAGCACAGAAGTGCAGAAATTGTGGCTTCCCCAGCATCTACAGTATTTGATGAAGTTTCCCCAGGTATCTTTAGACTTCCCATGATTGCAAGAACACAGTCCCTAACCCCTTCGTATTACCAATCCTTTCGCTTGTCCATTTTGCCATATGTTGAAACAGAGATTTTTGTATTATATTTTTTCCTTCAGTGGGTTTCCCCTTAAGAGAAGGATGGTTTAAGGATGCAAAATCATTGACATTAAGTACTACGTGAGTACTTACTAAGTAACAAACAATTACAATGTAATATGGAAGAGGTTGTGAATTTAAAGCACACTTACATTCTTGTTTAAATGTGAAATACTCTGTTAAATGTCTACATTCATGATTCCCACGAAGTAAAAACAGTGTTTTGGGATAAAGGATTTTCAAGGCCCACAAATACAGCACACACTGTAAAACAAAAACAAAAACATGAAAATAGTCACAGTGATTGACAAATGTATAAAATATTTTAGCCTTGTTTCAAAAGGTATACCCAGCTGTTCATATATTTTATGCAGATTGTTTCTCATGCTTTAAGGTAGCTTCGTAGCAATTATTAGGCTTCAATGTAGTTGTATACTCTTGCTAAGTGACATTTTCTTTTTACACACATTTGTGTACCACAGCTCCTGAGAATTATCGTCTTGCATGTCCAGGGAAAATAAGACCATTCTATCTTGGAGGGTTGGACAGAAATCTGCCATGGAAACCATTTCACAGGAAAATCTGCATTTCGTGACAGAAGTAACAAAATATTGTCCTGGAACAATTTCATAAGCACTTGTGAAAAATCACTGAATTCATGAAATTGAAAAATTTGTATACAAAAATCTTGTAGAGAACACTGGCAGTTTTGCACAAGTCTGGAGTCAGTCAGTCAAGCAGAGTTAAGAAACCCATGGTTTGTCTAGCTCCACCCACCATGTGGACAGTGCTGGCAGGTTCTAGAACCTCGGGCAACAGGGTTTGGCAGGCAGCTTTCCAAAGTCTGAGGTGAACTCATGCCACAATCTTTAAATTAAGGTGCTCAGCACCACTGAAAATTAGGCCCTTTTATAACAGTATATAACCACAGGCACACAGATTTGAAAATGTTAACCCAATTTAGTAATATTTGGGTTTTAATGAGATCAATGTCTGTTGCAGGAGAAAAAGAAAGTGCCTGAATTCAGGTTTTAGCATATACAGTAAAAAGACTTTGATTTAATCTACCAAATGTATTTATTATACTTTTTTAAAAATCTCACTTGTACTTTAACAGTATTTGGTTAATGATCTGGGATTTGAGAGAGTTTGGTTTTTGAAGAATTTCAATTTACACTTTGAAACCCTCACGCTTTTAGTGAACCATTTTTGGTGATTCCATTCTCGCTTATAATTTGACATTTCTTGGTCATAAGGAGGAAGGGGATGAGGCTATTGATGATCTTTTTAATCTCTGAATGTTTCAGTTTCTACTTTGTTCCCTCCTATGTTAAAAATGAATTTAACTCTTTCAAGCTCTTTGTAAAACACGCTATTTATTCTGTATCTATAGTTACATAAAACACAAACACCAAAGCGAATTTTCTCTTGAGTTTAGGGCTAAGTATGTGTAAAGGTCTGGAAGCTTGGAGTTTATACACAAATTTTCCTGCTTCCATCCCGGAGGTTTGGAGTGCAGTAAATAAAAGGAGCAGAGAATGCTACCTACAGAGCCAGTAGATCCTGGGAATTCTGGCACAGACCAACTCCCTCAGACTGGAGAGCCTGCATCTACACAGCACGCTTCTCAGCTCACCCAGACTCCTTTCATCCTCTGGACATTACTACTACCACCACCACCTTCTTGGGGGTGCGGGAATGGGAAAGGATGTCAAAGTGCAGAGGCAGAAACCAGGTAAATTAAGTCAGACATAAATCAGTATTAAATTACTGTGGACATCCTGGAGGGTTATGTGCGTATGGGGAGGCAGAACTCAGCAATCCTAGGGTTCACATCTACCCACACAGAGAGTACCTCTGGGGAGCCTTCTGCAGGTTTCTGCATCTGTAAGGACTCTTTGAGCATTACACTTAAATGACAATAGAGGTCTGATCTCAAAGGATCAACATTAATTTTATCTGAATAGCTTGACCACGACTGCATCTTTTGGCTTTATCATGTGTTCAGGAGTTCTTGAACCCTTTGATCTCTTTGGGTGTGTTACACTGCTTAAATCCCAAAATATCAAGCAGTGCTAAGAAAAGGAGCTGAATGTCACACACTTCTAGATTACAGTGAGAGAAAGAGAGCTCTAGTTTTTGAAGTTAACCTCAGGCTATGGCTCTTGCCGAGTCATCTTATCTTTTTTGATACTTCAAAAATTGGGACAAACGCTGCCCACAGACTTTATTTCATAAGAGAGATGTCTTGTTAATAAAAAACTAGAGGAGTGTAAGCCTTCTGGACCTCTTCCATAATCTATCTATACTGTGAAGAGGTTTTTCAATATTTTTTTTAAACGGGACAAGAAATTTGCAAGATTCAAAAAGTAATTAAACACATACGCACACAGAGATAACAGAATATCCAGCGTTATAACAGTTGATGCAAAAAGATGAGTTTTGGGAGGGAGATAAAGATTGTCTTAAGCCTGGAACATGGAGGTTTTAGCTATTAAGTAGTAGGGGGAGACTTCCTTGAGGCGACAGATTACCCCACATTTGCCCATGGTGTGGTTTCTTGCATCTTCCTTTGATCCCTCTGGTGCTAGCCAGTCAGACAGAATACTGGACTAGATGACCTCCTGATCCAATCGGGAAAGTCCTTTGTTCCTCTGATACTGTTATGCAATTCAAGCCTAACATTTAAATTATGTTATTTTTAACAAAATTTTACAATAGCTAATAGGTTGGGTTTTTTTAAGGTCCAAGTGTTACTTTTAGAGTTAACCTTCCTCTATATTATTTGCATCCCAAACATTGTAGCACTGTGCTAGTGAATGAGAACTACTTGATAAACCTATTTTCTCTGTACAGACTAAATGAAATACAAACTGAATAAATGGTGAAAAAAAGGGGCCTAATTCTCTACTGCCTTGCACCTGGTGTAATCATTTATGTCTCAGCACAGTGGATCAGCATTCACATGGCACTCCCTGTTAGTACCCAGCCCGGAGAAGCTAATGATCCAACTGGCAGACCAAATTCAGTGAAGATTCCTGGTCACGTGCCACGTGAGGCATGTTGGGTGTATGCTAAGAAGAACAGTGACTCCTGAGAACATGTAAAAAACAACCATTCTGATTTCATAACATTTTCTATCCACTTTGCAGAGCTGTTAATGACTCCAGAAGGTGCAAAACTGGAGAACTGATTTACATCAACTGAGGATCTAACCCTAGCTATTTAAAATTCCCTTCAGTTTTAATAGTCCACAGTATTATTAAGGAGACATGATTAAAAACTGAAAGTATTCCTTTAACAACAAAATGATACACTCCCTCGGGGTTTTGCATGAAGAATATGCATTATTTATATTGATTTTCCTCTGTGGTCCTTTATGACAATTTATAGCAGTGACCTCCCAGTCTGGTCACTGCTAATAGATCTCTGAACTGTTTTCATATGCTCGCAGACTGAGTTTATAAAAAATGGTGAAGTATTTAAAATATAACTCAACAAACTGCATCATGTAGTTTATGCTTAGTGTCTTTCAGTTATTTCTATAACAGACGTGCTGAGTTTATAAAAGTGAAAAGGTGGCTTTTCTACTTACCAGCTAAAAGTCAAGTTTTTTCCCCCCCCCATCATGTGCATCATCATCACTAATAATAAATTCTGCAGTAATGAAGCCAGGGATTTACACAAGCTTAAATTTTCACACCACTAGTGATTTTCAGTGCTCAACTTGAGACACCTTAAAAGGGGCTTGATTTTCAGAGGGCAGGTATGCTTAGCACTTTTGGAAAATCAGGTTACTTTAAGGCATCTCAAGTTAGGTACCAAAGACTAAAAAAGCCACTGTTGAAAATGTAGGCCAGCATATTAACATTATGCCCTCGGAGACATTTGTGTAACACAGTGTCTCAAAATTCTAATTTAGTGTGCTATTTTACTGATTAGCAGCTAGCTCACTCCCTCTTAGCTATGTTGGTTCTACCTTAGCAACGGAAGTAAAAAATCTTTTAGCCAAAGTAGTCAGTTATGACTGAACACACAAACAGGAAGCACGTCTGTTGAACAAGAAAGTACCATATACATAGTTGCATTTCAGAATCGAAACATACGTTAATGTCACAACATTTAAACCTGACCTTTCCCCTCTTGTAAATGTAATTGTGACTAAGTTATATTTTGTTAGTATAAATCTGTCATTAAATGGTGAGACTCAGGTTTCCTATCACTGAAATCTGCTAGTTATTCTTCTGTTAAAGAGGCCACCTTTCCCCATTGAAGGTTTGTGTTTCTTTCTAAAGAAGACATTTTATTCTAATTATAAGCCTGGTGATTTTTCTCTATGCAGATACCAGGCAGATCTGACCACACTGTATACAGAATCATAGGATTAGAAGGGACTACAAGGGTAATCTAGTCTAAACCCCTGCCAAGATGCCGGATTTGTTGTGTCTAAATATGGTTGATCACAAGGTTTTATTAAAACCTGAGCAGCATCTTTGTCTTCTGGGCATTTCCTTTGTTTTAGTCACTCCTCACCCACCGTGCTCCCTCAGAGCCCCATATGCTACAATGGGGTGGCAGTGATCCCTCCTGGTTAGAACGCAGCACAATGGAAGGACTGCTTTGTTTTGCTCCTTGTTTGCCACTGACTCAGTGTGTGACCTCAGGCAAATTCCTTAATGTTTTTGTGCCTCAGCTAACAAGTCTGCCACATGTAAATCACAATATTGATTTCCTCACAGGGATGCTGTGAAGCTCACTTAATGTTTGCCGAGTGTTTCCAGTTCTCTGGATGAAAGGTGCTATAGAAATGCAAAGTGTTTATTATTACTATGGTGAAGTGGTCTCACCAAGGTTCTTATTAAATGTAGCCATATCATGCAGAAGTAATTTAAATAAAAAAAAAATCATATTTAAAATCTAAAGTTTTGACAGGGTCATCCATCACCGATATCTGTGCAGTCTACTTAATGCCTCTTTTATTTAACAGTTAGATGTTGTGGATTATTCCTAAATCTATCATTAAGGCTTTGAGAAACATCAGAAAGACCCAACATTGCCAGTATCAAGCATTCAAAATTCACGAGTGCGATGCTGAAAAATCACAAGCTTGTTTTAATCATCAGGGGAATTAAAAAAAATGGATTATTTTTATTTGCCTTCAGGTTTTTGATCATGTTTTCTAGTTTTTAGGATCATGTTTTAAGGATCACATTTTCTAGTTCTTCTCCATAACCATAAGGGCTAGAAACTAACTCTTTTAAAAA